AATATCAAGCAGAAAAGTGATGAGAATAAAGGTAAATATCAATTAGGGGATTATAAATTGATCCGATACCAAATTCTCCAAACTAACATCACAAGAACTGAATGGCAGACATCAAGGAGAATTGCTGATGAGATCGTGGTAGTAAAAGGTTTAATCGCAACTGATCCTACCGTGGAAATTTTTATTCAAACGTAATAGAGTTAGCTAAACTGCCCAAACTTAATTACAAGCTGTGATAACGAAAGTCTACCTTTACGAAGGTGACTGTTAATTGTGCAAAAATTATCAAAGCATGACTCATTATTAATTATGAACAGGATAATCGGATTTCAACACAATTGTGATCATTGGCAAAGGGTTTTAACGGAACGAGTGAGTAAACGTGTCGCGTGATTAAAGCCAAAATTAATGTGACGCGTGCATTTTACAGAATGGCGAGCGTGATTCGAGAACTTATGAACCGGTATGAGGCGTGATCACAACTTAACCCATATTTAATTAATTCGGTTTGACTCCATAAATCTTCATTAACCGTTTCAGCCCTACTGTCACAGAGAAACGTGGTACACAATTGACGATCTTAAAAACAGGACAAGTTTGATTTCGAAAGCAGTGTACCTCGTAAACATGTAGGCTTCATGATGTTTCCTTGAGTGCGATAGATGAGTTGTTAATATTTTAGGCACGGCCGCCTGGCCTTATTTAGAGAGACAATTTCTGAACATAATTTCATTGAAGTACATTTATGATTTAAGATATAAGAACTTGATATCGGATTTTCAAGGAACCATCTTTCCTTTATGTAAGTAAGTTTTAGGGATGATCGAGTTTGGCTTTTGAAAAGTGATGCACCGATGCGGATTCACTTACAAAGCATGTCCATCATAAAAGGTGCTTTTGGAACATAGTATTCACAAATTATGATGACTTTGCCTCGAGCCTCAGGATACCTGATTTTAAATAGAGGCACGAGCGATCTAAGAAGACATAGTGTTTACTGGTGAGGCATTAAAGCATCCTCCAGCATCACTCACTCACTTTTTCGCTTTTTTTTTGCCGTTTCCGTAACATGGGTGTTTTACGGGACAGGGTTGTTATCCCTGTGCCCAACCCCCTAAACTGGAGGACCGGTGGATCGCGCTTCGTTGGACCTCTACCCTTCGACCTGTCTGGCTTGGGTCCCTACTAGGAGACGATGCTCCCGCTGGCATAGCTTTAGGGGTCTCCGAGGCACTCAAGCCCGCCGACCACGACATAGTGGTGATCCTTCGGGGGATCCTCTAACATAGAGGAACACAATGCCTGTAGCGAGGCGAGCTCGCTATGAAAAAAGTGTGAAAAGTTAAATTTTTTCCTACCCACCTCATCAGATACCTGTTGAAATATTTGAAATATCTTAAGATATTAGGGTTGAATTATTATGGTCACTATCATAGGCCTTTCATTGTCATCGTCATCGTTAGTCCTATGATTATTATTATTGTTGTTTTTGTTATTATTGTTATTATTGCTATTGTTATTATCAAAATTACAATTATTGCTAATATTTTTACCTGGTAAATGAAAGCAGCAGTAATACAGTGTGCTGATTATTTTCCTAGAAAGAAAAAAATTTCCTTGAAAGTGTCATTCGATGTGAGCATAAATTATCTCAACGATCGCATTTATTTGGGTTTTCCGCCAAACAGGATTGCAATCAATTCATTAATTGTTATTATTATTGCTATTAGTATAATTATTATTACCACTATTGTTATTAATATTATTATCGTTATTTTAATTTTAAGCTGTACCACTTTTCAAAAACCCGTTTATTTTTATTTTATTTGATTAATTATGAATGTGCAAAATTTTGGGAAATTACCCATCAAAACTGTTTTAGTGTTCCTTAAAAGCTGTCATTCATTTGACATGGCTATTAGGAAAAAACAGATCCAACGTTCAAGTTCGCTTCGACCAAACATCTGCTCCAAAAGGTACAAATGAGAATTGCGCTTACTAGCTCTACAAGGAAAACATTAAAACAGGGAGCATGTGAGGATTGAATTTAAGCTAAAACGGCCGCCATCACAGCATAGTTATCTAAATGTTAATTTGCTCGATCACAAACCCGTCACGAAAATGCATGCAACTTACATTTAAAATGACATTATCTTTTGAAATGGAAATTTCTATGAAAAACTACTCAAAAATAGCTTTATCCCAATAATTATTAAAAAAAAAAAAGTGACAAATGTATTTAAAAAAAACCAACGGCAGCTGAGTTTTGGACATTCAAACTTGCCAGCAAGGTAGTACGAAGACAGTGAGAAAACAAAATGAGTTTCTCACGTTGCCTCGTTTTTATATATATCTGTGTTTACGCTTTTGTTCACGCTCGCTATAAAAATGGAGATTTCATGTTGGGTGGACTCACTTCTAGCTCTGTTCGTCAGTTTCAAGACACCGAGGCCCAATGCGGCGGTAGTAATGAACAATTTGGTCTCGCACAAGCAATTATCTTCGCCGTCGAAAAGATAAATAATGATCCATACCTACTTCCAAATATCTCCCTTGGATATGACATCAGAAATTACGACGGAAATATTACTAAAGCAGGGAAGATAACTTACGAACTGTTTGAAGATACCCTCTGTGCTAACTCAGCAGCCGGTAATAAGACCAAAAGGAAGCCTATTGTTGCCTTAATCGGTCCCTTCGACTCCCGCACAGCTTTGTATATTGGCGGAATTCTCCGTATGTTTAATGTCTCTGGAATAAGCGGAACAACAACCAGTGGGGAGCTGAGTTCCAACAGTTATGCTCATCTGTATCGTACTGTGCCCTCCGATACATTTCTTGCAAAAGCTATGGTCGACATCATTGAACACTTTAACTGGAGTTATGTGGCTGCCGTTGGACTTGATGACTCGTATGGCAGAGGCGGAGTATGGTCTTTAGTCAATGAAGCAACGGCTAGGAAGCATCCATTTTGCATCGCGATGACTGAGTTTATACGTCACGAGGCACAATTTCCTAGCATTAAGTATGTCGTTGAAGAATTGAAAAGCCGCCAAAATATCAAAGTAGTTATCTTATGGGACTATTTGCAAAGGTTTATAGAAGAAGTCAGCAGACAAAACCTCACAGATCGCGTTTGGATTTTAAGTGAAATATACTCGATTTCGAAAGAAAACGACTTCATGGATTCAAGATTCTCTGTCTTGGAAGGATCTATAGGATTTCAACATCATGATTACAATGGGCACGAATTTAAAGAGAGCCTAAAAACCATTCTGACGAACGCGATGACTGATAATATGACTTCAGAGTGGAGTGATGTTGAGGATAATCCATGGAACTGTCCAGGATTTCGACAAGTCTACGACAGTTCCAAATCTGAGCAGCACCACAGCAATGTTGTTAATGAAATCTACAGCAGTTACGTTCCATACATCATCGACGCTGTGTACTCAGCAGCCCATGCTCTGGACATATTGACCACAGATTTGAACGGCATCGATGCCAGTGATCTGCAGCAGTTTGATGTGAATATTAAAAAAATGCAAAAGGTCCTTGGAAGAGTAAATTTTACAGGGTTAACAGGAAAAATTAAGTTTGACAAATTTGGTGATATAGACTCGGCGTCATATGACATTTTCAGTATCGAACGAGTATCATCCGAGACCAATGGTCTTAAAACCACCCTTGTAGGGAAATGGGAAAATCATGCAAAAAGTAAGGCTCAGTTAAATTTTTATCGTGAAATTCTTTGGAGGACTGTGAATGGTGAAACACCAAAATCTGAATGCTCGGAACAATGCCAGCCAGGAACGAGAAAGTCGTCTACTTCACCTTGCTGTTGGCACTGCGTCCAGTGTCCTGGCGGCTCAGTCAACCCTTATCCTGGCTCTGCGAGTTGTGTTGAGTGTCCTAAGGGTAGAACAGCTAATCAGGCTAAGACAGAGTGTGTAGCTTTGCCCTCGGCAAACTTAAGCTACACCAGTGTTGGCGGAATGTTTATTCTTGGGTTTGCCACTCTTGGTGTAATTCTCTCATTTTTTTCTTTCGTAGTGATTGTTAAATTCTGGAACAGTCCTATCGTCAAGGCATCCAAAAGGGAGTTGAGCATTTCTCTCCTATTATCTGTTCTTTTGTTGCTATCTCTGACATTCATAAATGTCTTGGAGCCCACAAATACAATTTGCAGAATTATTTATCCGGTTCGCTACTTGGCATATAATCTTTGTCTCTCTGTCTTGCTAACGAAATTCTTGCTTATCTCGAGCGCATTTCAGGTTCCAATAGTGATCAACTCTCTCTCGGACAGAGTTCAAGTTTGTATTTTAATAATGTTGCAAGTATTGCTGCTGATTTTTATTCTACCGTGGCTTCAACTAGATCCACCCTTTAAAGTGCAACATATTTATTCCGAACTCTACACTTTTAGTAAGTGCAAAGCATTCACTAGTTTTACTGGAAAAAGCCTATTTTCGGTAATATGTTTTTATGTTTTCGTCCAGTTGCTACTATCCGCAGTTTTTGCCTTTAATGTAAGGAAAATTCCTGAAACTTTTAGTGAGGCAAAGCGGACAGCTTTTTCCTTGTACATATTTCTGTTGTCCTTGCTATGTTTTCACCCAGTGGAGTGGTCTATCGATGGATGGTATGTAACGGTTGTGGACTGTGTCACAACTCTGTTGAGTGCGTATGGTTTCCTTGGTTGCATATTTTTGCCCAAGATGTATATCCTACTATTCAGACCGGATCTAAACGTCTTGGCCAACATTAGACAAGAAGTCACTCAGTTCTCGTTTGGCTCGAACCGTGTTCGTGTCAGACCTGCTGTTGATATTTCCACCCAGGAACCCAATGTTAGACAAAAGTGAGACAAAAGCCTTAAAATATTAAGATAATAGAAACGAAAAAGTCTCAAAGTAACCATTGTAACCAATCGAAAGAATAAGTACCTTATTAGTATGTTTTAAGCGATATTTGGTTGAAGTGAACATTCATTTCTTAAAGGAAAAACCTAATTCAAAGGACATTCAACTTCCATAAAATTTTATGTTTGTTTGTACAAGGTGATTAAAGTGAACGTTTCCTAATTGAGTACTGTCTATCTTTTCTATTCGAGATTGAGCAATTGCCTCTACTACAAGTAAAAAAAGATTTAAAATGAATAGTCTTGTCCTTCGGTGTGGAATGATTACAAAATAACCAAAGTATAAGATCACGATGTACCAAGCTTTGGTGCATGCTTCTGAATCCTCCCGAATCCCTCCAATAATTTTAAGGCGATTAGAAACAAATGATTTGTTGATTGTCATCTAACACGACATTGAGTTGGCTTCTTGGACGAAAATCGCGCGTAATCCAAGCTAGAATGAGTATTCATTTTAAAATTTTGCCCTGTATGTAATAAACGAGTAATCGCAAGTGCCTTCGTGTAATTAAGGATTAATTGC